CCTTCCCATCCTTTCTTTCATAGAGGAAGACCTATCATTTTGTTGCCGTCTTTTACATACAGTGGCAGCTCACAGAGTAAATAAGACTATATAGGATGTCACATAAACACAATTTTCATTTGTGTAGCAATGGAAAGAGTTGCAATGGAGTATTGTAGTGCATATAATAAAATATTTATCTTGTTATCAGACACCTCCCAAACTGCAATGGTTTACAGCTTTAGGGCCTGTTCACACGACGTCCGTTTTGTGTGCTGACCGGCTCCGTACGCTGCTGCACTCAAAATGCATCCCAATGTATCCCTATGTGTTTTATGGGCTCCAGTTCTCACGTGTGCAGTCCATTCAGCTTACGACAGAAAAAATACTGCATGTCACATTTTGTCCAGTCCGGGAACGCGCATGAAACGCAACGAAAACGGAACGGCAACGCAATGCAGCTAAGGGGGGAAAAAAAGAATTTTTTTTATTTTTGCTCCACTTATTATGATGTCATCAACGTTGACAAAAAATTAACTGTCAGCATCCGGACCGAACGCATCAAAAACGCACTGCATCAGCAGCTCCACGTCTGCTGATCAGCACCTGATCAGGACCTGATCTCATGTGAACAGGCCCTAAAGTAGTATTAAACTCTCAAACTTTTTTTCAATATTGAATCCAGATCAAACAAATATACATTGCCCAGCAAAGCATTGCCTTACATTTTTGCCCAAACACTTAAAATCCTCAGGTTTCTGAACATCTGTTTCCAAGTCTCTCTGCTCCGCTTCCCTGAACTTCCTGTCCAGTACAAGATCACAGGGGATAGAGCAGACTCCAGCAACTGTATCTGCGAGCTTGGAGGAGAGGGGAGTAGCTTGATTTGCTGTGTTTGTGCAGACACAAACAGCTTACTATCGCACACACAAGGGTGACTGCGTAGCACTCTGCTTGAGAATGGAGTCACACTAAAACAGGAAGTCAGGACCAGTGCTTAGAGGACCAGCTGATTCTGCAGGAAACTAAAACTTTTCAAAATCAAGGAGCAGCATCCATTGTAAATTATTTTATCAGCATTTTAAATGGCTTAAAATCCTTTTGATTTTAATACAACTTTAGATCAAAGGGAAGAGGAATAAGCTGTGATTCTTACCTCATTCCATGCTTCGAAAGGTATCCAGTCACTCTCCTCTCCAAAGCTTTGTGTTGGTGGGAAGCCTTGCATTGTACAATGTGGAAAATAATTATTTGATCCCTTGCAGATTTTGTAAGTTTGCCCACTTACAAGGAAATAAAAGGTCTATAATTTGTATCATAGGTGCATTTTAAATGATAGAGACAGAATATCAACTAAAAATCGAGAAAAAACACATGATACATATGAATATAAATGGAGTTGCAGTTCAGTGAGTAAAATAAGTATTTGATCCCCAAGCAAAACATGACTTAGTACTTGCTGGAGAAACCCTTGTTGGCAAGCACAGAGGTAAGACGTTTCATGTAATTGGTTCCCAGGTTTGCACACATCTCAGGAGGGATTTTGGTCCACTCTTTACAGATCTTCTCTAAATCCTTAAGGTTTTTAGGCTGTCGCTTGGCAACTCGAAGTTTCAGCTCACTCCATAAATGTTCTATAGGATTAAGGTCTGGAGACTGGCTAGGCCACTTCCATGACCTTAATGTGCTTCTTCTTGAGCCACTGTTTTGTTGCCTTGGCAGTATGTTTTGGGTCATTGTCATGCTGAAAAACGCGGCAAAGTTGGCCTGTACCATTAGCAGAGAAACTGCCCCACAGCATAATGTTTCCATCCCCGTGCTAGACTGTAGGGATGGTGTTCTTGGGGTCATAGTCAGCATTTATCTTCCTACAAACACGGCCAGTCGAGTTAATGCCAAAGAGTTCAATTTTGGTCTCATCTGACCGCAGCACTTTCTCCCAATCCTTCTCTGAATCGTTTAGATGTTCATTGGCAAACTTCAGACGGGGCCTGTACATGTGCCTTCTTGCGGAGGGGACCTTGCAGGCGCTGCAGGATCTCAATCCATGACGGTGTATTGTGTTACCAATGGTTTTTGTTGACTATGATCCCAACTGCCTTGCAACAATTCACAAGCTCCTCCCGTGTACTTCTGGGCTGATCCCGCAATTTCTCATGATCATCCTTACTAGAGCTGCAGCTAACGATTATTTTCAAAATCAATTATTTAGCCGATTATTGAGTTCGATTAATCGGTTAATCGGATAGATTTTAAAAAATAGATTTTAAAAAATGGCTCCAGTGATGGGACTTCTACTATTGAGATTGTAGTCCATCACAGGAGCAAGCTTGGAGCGGTGGAAGTAAAAAAGAAAAAAATAGTGTGGTGTGCAATATAGTGAAATGAAAAGTGTAAAATTATACAGCAATGAATGCAGAATGGCACCGGCTATAGAGGACTACAAATCCCAGCAATAGTACATTATACAGCGCAATGCAGAATACCACCAGCTATTGAGGAATACAACAAATCCCAGCAAAAGTACATTATAGCTGGCGGTATTCTGCATTGTGCTGTATAATGCACTATTGCCGGGTGTTGTAGTCCTCTATAGCTAGTGGTATTCGGCATTGCACCACTGTATAATGTATTATTGCTGGGATTTGTTGTACTCCTCTATAGCTGGCGGTATTCTGCATTTCGCTGTAAAGTATTATTCCTTGATTTGTAGTCCTCTATACAGCGCAATGCAGAATACCACCAGCTATAGAGGAATACAGCAAATCCCAGCAATACATTATACATACAGTGTACAATGTATTGCTGGGATTTGTAGTCCTATGTATAATATACAGCACAGTGTACCATCAGCTATAGAGGAATACAAATCCCAGCAATACATTATAGAGCACCATGTGTGGGAAAGTGCAGGCTTACCTGAGCAGTCTTCCAGCAACTTGTTTCTGAGATCGGGCCTGTCTATCGGCGGCTGTCATCCGCCCACACCTGCTCCTCCTTACTTCTTCTCCCCGCGTCCCTGTGCCGATCGTGGATTTGGGCGGGCGGTGAGCGTGAGGAGGTGCGGCGTGCGGAGCGTGGACGCGGGCGGGTCTGGCAGCGGCGAGCGTGAGTTGTGGCGCGCAGCGTGTGTGGAGCCGTGAACAGGGCCAACCAATCAAAAGCCAATTAATCGATGATTGAAAAAGTTGACAACTTTTTCAATAATCGATTATGTCGATTAGTTGTTGCAGCCCTAATCCTTACCCCATGAGGCGAAAACTTGCGTGGAGCTCCAGACCGCGGGTGATTATTAGTTTCTATTCCTTCCATTTTCGAATAATCGCTCCAACAGTTGTTTCCTTCTCACCAAGCTTCTTGCTTATAGTCTTGTAGCCCATTCCAGCCTTGCGCAGGTCTACAATTTTTGACAGCTCTTTGGTCTTGCCCATGGTGGTGAGGTTTGAATGGAAGAAAGAGATTCTGTGGACAGGTGTCTTTTATATACATAACGAGTTGTTGTTAGGACGCATATTCTTAAATTGACAGGACTAACCTGTGTACCACATAGCCAGTCTGTGGGAGCCACATTTATTGTTGGTTGGTTGGGGATCAAATACTTATTTTACTCACTGAACTGCAACTGCGTTTATAACATTTGTATCATTGTTTTATTCTGGATTTTTGGTTGATATTCTGTCTCTATCAAAATAAAACTTAGACCTTTAATTTCTTTATAAGTGGGCAAACTTACAAAATCCGTAGGGGAGCAAATCATTATTTTCTTCACTGTATGCGATGATGTCATAGTCTGACCGCTGGTCAGAGCACCAAATAGAAGAGGCTTAGGGAGCCTGCTCACACACCGTGGTGGAAGTCTGCTGGAGTGACAAATGAGGTAAGTATTACAGCCAGGGAGTGAGCTTACTGCAAGGGTGTTTAAATTTTTTTATTTTTTTTTAAATCGAGTTCGGCTTCAATCTGTTAATTCTTTGAAAATGTTTGTTTCTTGTGTCTGCTCCATGCGTGTTTTTATATGTAGATTATCATACAAGTTTTGAGTTGGGTACAGAAGTGCACATTATCCTCCTTAGCCTATTTAATAATGCCTGTATGTATTTGCATCTGTGCAAACTGAGCAAGTCTAAAATAAAACTTTTTAAATGTTGCCGTTCTTTTACTCAAGAAGCCTGCCATATTGCCCAATAGTCATCTGGAGGCACACACCGTCACCAGGCTCTCTGCATGCAAAAATGGCATCCTAATCGGATCCATTTTACGCTGCATATTTCTTAGGATGCCTCAAAGTTGAATGACACTGATTTGCAGTGAACACACAGACATGTAAAGGAATGCTGGAATGCCTTCTTTTATTTAGCATCTAAACACATTGTCACCTCAGTATGTTTGTTTTTTATGCATGCTTCCCGACCCTGCACTAAAAGCATGAAATCGTATTTTTAGGGGTGATATAATTTGCCTTTAAATCAACTACAACTAGTCATGATGAGCAATATGTGTTGTTTTTTTTCTTATTTAATTCACAAAGGTGGCCTTCAGTTTAGACATTTAAAACCTTAAAGTATATCTAAACCCAACAACACAAATGCTATATTGCAGATTGCCAGTCCTTGGATGTGGTGCCTGTATAATTTTTCTTTCAGGCTAAGAATATTTTCAAAAAGTACAGAAAATAGCTGTTCTTGCCAAAAATGCAGTGTACTTGTCACTGTGAGCTGAAAGGAAAGTGCAAACATATTTCTTGTATAAACTACTGGTCTTATAGATTCACCATCTAATAGAGATAAAGGCAAACATGTTTGAAGTCTAGCCTCCCTCCATGGATACAATGGTGAAATGAGTGTAGAAAAAAAAAAGCCGTAAAAGCAAAAAAATAATGCAGTCACCACATCTAAGGTCTGGTGAGTGATATGTTACATTGTTTAATATCAACAAACTCTGTTGTGTTGAGGATTGTTAAGAGACTTAGAGTCTAGATAGTTTCAGAATGAAGCCTTATGATGCATTGTTTTGTTATACAGATGAAAGGGGACAATTTTCTGTTGCTGCCGCCAAGCCGACTCCTACAACAAGCAAATCAGACTTTCCTTTAAAGAAAGTTGAAAGCAAGTCATCCAAGCCAGATGGAAGAGCAAGCCGCTCTAATGCTGATCAGAAGAAACCACGAAATAATGAAGGGCTCACAGCCAGTGAATCTCTTCTCCTTAAGTCAGATGCTGCAAAACTCAGATCAGATTCCCACAGCCGATCTTTATCACCAAACCACAACACTCTACAAATTCTGAAGTCTGATGGAAAATCATCTGGCCTGAGATCTGAATCTCCTGGCCCTGGCTCACGTTCCACATCACCAAAGCCAAAGACTGTGCCTGCCGGAAAGAATAACGTGTCCAGTGCAGGTGCTTCACGCTCTGCATCTCCACAGGAGAAAAACCTACCTCAAAAAGCTGCCACTCCTGCAAAGACCAAACTTGAACTACCACGGGAAAGATCCAAGTCAGATTCCTATACTCTGGATCCTGATACACTACGCAAAAAGAAGGTACCATTCACAGAACCGTTAAGGGGGCGATCCACTTCACCCAAACCGAAAATTACTGCGAAGGATGGTAAACCTTCGGGTGGTAGTGAAAACAGAGCTCCATCTCCACATGTTGTCCAAGAAAATCTACACAGTGAGGTAGTTGAAGTTTGTTCTTCAAGTACATTAAAGACCAACAGCACTACTGACGGCACATGCGAGGACAATACTGAGGTAAATAGTATTGATGATGGTGCATGCAAAGTTCATTTTAGCATTGGAAAAGCACCACAAAAGGAAGAGCAAGACACTCGGTCATCTCCCAAAGTAAGCCGTAAGAGTGCTGGGAGGCATGTTCGGCCCAAAAAGGAAAAAACAAACTTTCTTTTTAAAGATGGTTCAAGGTCTGACCCAACAAAGGAAGCAATGTCCCCATCTGTGGCTGAATGTGCAAGAGCAGTGTTTGCAGCTTTTCTTTGGCATGAAGGTATAGTTCATGATGCTATGGCTTGTTCCTCTTTTTTGAAATTTAATCCAGACCTGTCCAAAGAGCATGCACCCATTAGAAGCAGTCTTAACAGTCAACAGCCTACAGAGGAAAAAGAAGTCAAGTTAAAAAACAGGCACTCCATAGAAATATCATCTGCTCTTAACATGTTTCATATATCACCACATGGGCCAGACATATCAAAAATGGCCAGTATTAATAAGAACAAAGTTTTGTCGATGCTTACAGAACGGACACTTCATGAGAAGTGCGAGGATGCCAAGAACGAGAGTTCCCCATTTGAGGTTTCAAACCACCATTCCACCAAATCCAGAGCCCTTCTTCCCTTAACACTTCAACACCTAGTGGCTTTTTGGGAGGATATTTCATTAGCCACCATAAAAGCAGCTTCCCAGAATATGATTTTCCCCAGTCCTGGATCTTGTGCTGTGTTAAAGAAAAAAGAAGGTGAGAAGGACAGCAAAAAAGCCAAAAAGGAGAAGAAGAAGAAGGAAAAGGCAGAGTCGCGGCCACGTGGTAATCTCTTTGGTGAAATGGCCCAACTGGCAGTAGGAGGACCAGAGAAAGACACAATTTGTGAACTGTGCGGAGAGTCGCACCCTTATCCAGTGACATATCACATGCGGCAAGCTCACCCAGGTATATATGACACTTTGTACATTTGAGATAATGTTGGTGACCACACAGGAGTCTGTTGCACTGCACATTTATAATTGGTAATATCACAAAATCAAATTTGTTGGTAACAAACACTTTCTTCCCAAATTAGAAGTAGTTGTTATGCAACACAACATGAAACCTTTTTTTTTTTAATCTCCTTTTGTAGATAGACAAATATGTTTATTTAGTGAGGAACAATGCTATACAATGAGGTCGATTTACTTGAGGAATGGAGACTGTACACTTTGCAAAGTGAATGTTGATTGCACATAGGGTGGAGTTGTGTTCACCTTTAAATAACTAATCATGTGCAAGGGAAATTGTGAAACAGGATTTTTGCTGTGATTTGAATGATTGAAGTGAACACAGCTTCTCCTTATCTAGGCTAAGTGAATATTCACTTTCCTAAGTGAACAGTCTATTTTTTTGTTAGTATATGCATAATATGTGTTAACACTCTTCAACTAGTGAGAACCAATTTTTCCTTGCAGATTGTGGCTGCTCATTGTTAAACGTTACATTGTAGCTTGTGTTATTTTTTTACATCTCAATTATGTCCATGTCTCTCCTATTACAGGTCTACTAGTATTAAAACCGACAAATGTTTAATAATCTGTTTCTTTAAAGGCTGTGGAAGATATGCTGGTGGTCAAGGCTATAACAGCATAGGACACTTCTGTGGTGGATGGGCTGGGAACTGTGGTGATGGAGGAGTAGGTGGAAGCACATGGTACTTAGTCTGTGACCGCTGCAGAGAGAAATATCTCAGAGAAAAACAAGCAGCGGTAAGGGACAAGGTAATAGCCTTTATTCAGTACTGGCTGGTTATTTATTTCAAGAGTATACTAAAGAATATAAATAGCTTTGTCTTCTAGGGGGTTATTCACTAAAGAGCCAAGGATTTAGCCGAACGTTCAGTTAATCTTTTGGCTCGCTTCGACTGCAGGAACTCTTCAGTTCAGGCAAACCGAAGGGCTTCTGTACATGCTATTCACGATAGCCCGTGCAGCAGCCAAAAACAGACGAGGCAGGAAGAATGGTCTGCCGAAGCAGACTGACTCCCTGCAAAAATAGAATAAGAAAAAAAAAGCCCAGCGTGGGGTCCCTGTTCCAAACCATACCAGACCCTTTAGGTCAGGTGGGAATGTTAGGAGGGACCCCCGATTTAAAAAAGACAAATAAGTGGGGTACCCCCATAAGTCATACCAGACCCTATAGGTCTGGTAGGTATTTTAAGGGGGACCCTAACGCCCAGAAAAAGGAGAAAAAACTTGGGTTCCCCCTAAAATTTCAGACCAGACCCTTATTCCTATCACTGGCAGGGCAGTAAAGAGGGGTGCGGGACGGGCAAGTGTCCCTCCCTGCACCATACCAGGCTACATGCCCTTGGCATTAAGAGGGTGCTTTTCCAGGGGGAGACCCCTGGAAAAGCACCTTGTCACTATCAGATGAGTACAATGACCTCTTCCCCCACCAACCCTGGTGGTTGTGGGGGTCTGCGGGCAGGAAGGCTCATCTGCATCTGGGTGCCCCCTATCATAAAGGGGGCACCCAGATGCCGCCCCCCTCTTGTGAATGAGTAAGGGGTAATTGTTACCCCTACTCATTCACCAAAGAGTTAAGTCAAAAGTAAATAAACACAACACACTTTTGAAAAAAATTATTTAATTGATCAAAAACACAGTTTTTGACAATTCCTTTATTAGTCAGAAAAGAAAAGTTCAACACTGTAATCTATGGTCAATCACGTCGTCATTCACTCTCTGCTGTTCGGCTCCTATGAGAATAGTGCTGAACAGCAGAGAAAGAAGTGCCAAGCATTCACCTCAGCCGATCCAGATGTTGCATTGACTGAGGCGAATGGATTCTTCCCTTCGCTTCTGCTGAACATGCAGAGGCTGTTCGGCTGAACCAAAGGGAAGTGGTGAGCCAAATGCAGCTGATGTACGCCTAAAAATAGCCGCACAGAGCAGCAGTGAATAGCGCAAGAGGCTTCGGCTAGGTTATTCATTCGGCTGGCTTCAACAGATTAGTGAAAAACCCCCTTAGTGTTTTAAAACTGGCACTGATCAAGGATTTTGTCTGAAAGGCAAATATTTCACCTGTCTGTACCCTTTCTAATCATGATATACACTATTTATTCCATGGCACTACAGCTTTATGAAGGCCATCTGTTGGACTACACAGCAGTTAGTTTTGTTTAACAGGATTAATGGGGTTGTTGGCCCTTTGCCCAATTTGTAGAATTAGGGTACTGTGTTTAGATATTTCCTGTGACCTTCCTGGTTACAGGAAATATCTAAGAGCTATCCTACTAAGGATAGCTCACAGGCCTAGTAAGAGCTATCCTACTGTGGCTAGAGCTCTTAGTCCCACTACATCAAAGTAGGGATACATCGGTGGTACTCATTACATAAGCATACCAGATTTAATGAAGTTTATTTAATTGTCATGATTTCTAGAAAATTCAAATAATTGCTGTCTCTCATTAAGAGACAACCAAATAGCAAAAATGTTCTTGAGAGAGGCAATGGCAGCCTACATATTTTCCTTAGCACAGGTTTACTTTCTGTCTTCACAAAACTTAATGCTGAAGGTGCTCATAGTGTGTGGGTACTCTTTGGTAGCAGGTTACCTAAGCAAACTGAATGCATTGAAAAAAACAAGTAGGTTCTGCAGCTGGTGTCTGACACTTATGAATTAGAAGTGTAAGGACAGGTAGAGTAACATCAATTGGAGGAGACACGCATTGTATTGGAGATAGAAATTGAATAAAGGAGTTTTTGTCCCATTTTTTTTTTTTGTACAGGTAAAGCAGTCCAGAAGGAAGCCAGTACAGGTGAAAACTCCACGTGCTTTGCCTACCATGGAAGCTCATCAAGTGATAAAAGCCAATGCACTCTTCCTGTTGTCCTTGAGTAGTGCTGCAGAACCAAGCATTCTCTGTTATCACCCTCCCAAACCATTCCCATCCCAGCTACCCAGTGTGAAAGAAGGCATCTCTGAAGATCTGCCTCACAAGATGCAATGTCTCTACCTGCAAACTTTGGCAAGGTAAATTTCAGCTTTTTTTAATCACTGTTGAAATGAGTTGTTTTTATTTAAATGGATGTATTTTTCCTGACTTTGTTAATCAGTAATATTTAAAAATGAATAATTGTCCAAGCCATGTGCTGTCAGCAACTAAGTCATTCTATGGTACCTCTCTTCTGGTGATATGAATGAGGACATTTATGGAAGTAATGCAGTCTAAAAAAAGGGCTATTTAAAACTTTTACATTTTTGTATTTGTTTTTCTGCCCATACTTGAGTGTTTTAGATGTAAACCTTAATAGATTAACATTTAGTTTGCTTCAGCATTTTGTATCAAACAGTTGCCAATTGTTTTCCCATCAAATAGTTATTTTCACTTTCATCAATTGTTGCATTTCAGTTCTGCTGATCTCCTTCAGCCATTTCTGTTTAAATGCATACACTCCAGCATGGCATTTCTCAGGGCAGGTTCCTGATGGTGACATTAGCAGATTGCACCTATGTAATGTGTGTCATCATTGGAAGCCATTGTGACGGGGTTGACAATGCAGGGACATAATTGGGAGACAGTGACAATGTTGTCACCCTATAACTGTAAGGGCGTTGGAACATGGAATTTGATGACAGGATCACTAGATAATAATGTATTAATAGTGTAATTTTAAGAGTCATTTTTCAATATTTTTAATCTTTCAGCTAACATGTTAAAGCTTAATGGGATTTTAGTGATTGAGGTTACATATACTTTAAGATTTCTGTCTGCACTTTTATATCACACAGACATCATCAAGAGAACTTTGTAGGCTATCAGGATGACAACCTCTTCCAGGATGAAATGAGATATCTTCGCTCTACATCAGTGCCAGCTCCTTACATATCAGTCACTCCTGACGCTTGTCCAAATGTTTTTGAGGAACCAGAGAACAACATGAAATCGATGCCACCCAGGTATTAATTTTGAAGCATGCAAACCATTTCTGATGATGTAAAATGTTTTTATGTGTTGTAGAGTCAAATTATTAAAGGTTTCATGAATTCCTGCTTTGAGTTAGGGCTACATGAGTAGCATATAAGAATTATACACATACTGGCATATCATTTTACAGTATGTCACTATTCTCTCTTTTTATATCCTATTTATTACATTTTGTAATGTTTTCTTCACTTGTAGTTTGGAAACAAGTCCTATTACAGATACTGATTCTGCTAAACGCACAGTCTTCCAAAGATCTTATTCAGTTGTGGCCTCCGAATATGACAAGCAGCATTCAGTTCTTCAGCCACGAGTCAAAGCTATTCCCAGGAGGAGAGTCAACAGTGGAGATGCCGGTATATTTAAAACTGTCTGTTGTGCAGCTTTTCTTAGGGGAGAATGTCTATCAGTTCATCTTTTAAACATTGCATTACATTTTACGTTATATCTATAATGCATTGACAAATAAAACTGTTGTCTGTCAGGATATTCTTTTTTTTTTGGGGGGCGGGGGCTTATTTATTTTTTTGCTATCTGTGCCTCTTTAGGGAAATTTCCCTTCACTTCTTGTCCTGTAGACTCAACAAGAAGTGAGAGGAAATCTTTTGAATGTGAGGGAAATCCCCTCTAAATCAGCTGTCACGGGACAGTTGTCCCATATAAAGATTTCCTGCTCTGGTGGATTGGATTTTACAGTCACTTTAAATTCTGGTAACATTGGTGATAAGGATATTGAATTCGGCCGAGCGCTGCAGGACGAGAGTGCTGTGAGCGGCCGGCGTCTTTCCTCCCACACCGCTCAGCCGCCTATCACAGTCCGGCAAAGCGGTGTGGGGACGGAGACGACGCTGTCACAGGAGGCTGGGCTTTCCTCTCTACAACGCTCGATCCGCCTCCTGTGACAGCGTGTCAGAGAGAAAAGCAAGGTACACACTCAGGCCCCATTCACACTGAGCGATTAATCCGCGCGATATCGCTCTCCAATGCATGGCAATGGGGCTCTGTTCATCGCTGTCGCGGATCGTGCGTCGCTACAACAGGACCCTTTTTGGAGCGGATTTCGGCGCGATTCTACTTTGCTCAATGCAACCATTTGCGCGATGTCGCACGACAAACCACGCGATATCGCGCAAAATGCAAGTCGTGTGACAAATGCACGATTTGCGATACGCTCAGTGTAAATGGGGCCTTAGTGATTTTTCTTGGATTTTGCAAAATCAATAGGTGCATAGGTAAAATGTAAAATATTTTCATGTTTCTATTTCTCTGAATTTAGTTTGTTTTGGTTTTTTTGCAGAAGTTGGGTCCTCGTTATTGAGACACCCATCACCAGAGCTGTCTCGCTTGATCTCTGCTCATAGCTCACTGTCTAAAGGAGAAAGGAATTTCCAGTGGCCAGTTTTAGCCTTTGTTATCCAACACCATGATCTTGAAGGCCTAGAGATTGCCATGAAACAGGCTCTTAGGAAGTCAGCTTGCAGGGTCTTTGCTATGGAGGTAACCAATTAAATTAATTATTGTTGATGGTGCAGGTTGATATTTGATTTTGCTTGGCCTCGAGATGTTTTGTAATAATGATTGCAGACAGAGAACACGCAATCTAGCTTTAGAATTTGGGAACAGATTTCTTTCATAGCAAGAAAAAAAAGATTTGAATTGCTTGTTTAAATACATTATGTGTATAAGAGTTATTAATCTGAAAGGCTTGTGTGTAGTGCTTAGCTAGGGATTTTTTAATTCATAGTTATTTAGTAGGGTTAGGTCTCCTTAATTGTCTTTTATATTGATGTCTCTTTTACCCACATATTTTAAAGGGGAAAGTATCAGTATTTAGTATATAAGGTACAGTGCAAAAGTTTTAGCCAGGTGTGAAAAAATGCTGTAAAGTGATGAGAATGCTTTCAGAAATAAAAGTATTTAAACATTAATTTTATTTTTATCCGTGAACAAAATGGAAGTAAATGAACAAAAACGAAATCAAAATCAAAATTTGGTGTGACCACCCTTTGCCTTAAAAACAGCATCAATTCTTCTAGGTACACTTGCACACAGATTTTGAAGGAACTCGGCAGGTGGGTTGTTCCAAACCTCATGGAGAGCTAACCACCTTCTGTGGATGTTGGCTGTCTCAAATCTTTCTGTCCCTTCATGTAATCCCAGACAGACTCGATGATGTTGATCAGGGCTCTGTGTCACTTCCAGGTCTCCTTGCTCTTCCTTACGCTGAAGATAGTTCTTAATGACATTGGCTGTATGTTTGGGGTTGTTGTCCTGCTGCAGTATAAACTTGGGGCAAATCACACACCTCCCTGATGGTATGGCATGATGGATCAGTATCTGCTTGTATTTCTCAGCATTGAGGACACCATTGATCTTGACCAGATGTTCAACTGCATTGGCAGAAAAGTAGCCCCAGACTTGCAAGGAACCTCCACCATGCGTCACTGTCGCCTGCAAACACATTATTGTACCGTTCTCCAGCCCCCCGGTGAACAAACTGCCTCCTGCTACAGCCAAATATTTTATATTTTGACTCCTCAGTCCAGAGCACCTGCTGCCATTTTTTTGCACCCCAGCTCCTATGTTTTCGTGCATAGTTGAGTCGCCTAGCCCAGTTTCCATGTCGGAGGTATGGCTTTTTGGCCGCAATTCTTCCATGAAGACCACTTCTGGCCAGACTTCTCTGGTCAGTGGATGGGTGTACCTGGGTCCTGCTGGTTTCCACCAGTTCGGTGCGGATGACACTGCTAGACATTTTCCGATGTTGAAGGGAAGTAAACATGATGTAGCTTTCATCTGCTGCATTAAGGTTCCTTGGCAGACCACTGTGTCTATGGTATAGAGAATATGTGAATAGAGTGCCCGACCGATATAACTGTACATAACTGACTTTTGACGGTCTTGTATGTTTGAAAACTTTGGTCGATCGTACGATGTTCGCATGGTTGGTGGCGTTTCCGTCCGTCAAAAGTCGTACGATTAACACTGCGCATGCGCAAACGAAAATAATTGCGGTCAATTACCGCAAGTCGTCCAGGTGTTTTTTTTTTTAACTACCGCTGATTGAACCTTTCGATAATCGGGGCAGGATGGGGCCGTCGTACGAAAATCGTATGACGGTTCGATCATCGGATGAAAAGTTTTGTCCGATAATCGTAAGGTGTATGGGCACCTTAAGAATTGATGCTGGTTTAACCCAAAGGGTAGTCACACCAAATATTGATTTGATTTAGATTTTTCTTCTGTTCACTCAGAACTCACTTTGGATATTGTAAATTGATAAAAAAAATAAACACTAAAAATATATATTTTTGAAAGCATTCTTACTTTACAGCATTTTTTTACACTTGCCTAAAACTTTTGCACAGTACTGTAAGTATAAGTATTTTATCTAAATAGAAGTCTTTTAGTGAGCAGACATTTTGACTTATTACAGTGTTTACCTAAAATTAATTTTTGGAAGCTAGCTTTTCCATACTTCTGTTCTATTGAGTTATGGAGGCAAGATATTAGCAACACAGAGAGTGTCTTATTGGGTCAGACTACTCAGACCTGCTTTGTAAGAAGAATCAGTAAAGCACAGCCATTCTGTAGTGCTGCAAAGGAAGAAGCAGATGTATGTAATAGGCAAATGGGACCGTACCTGTGTAAATATATAATTATAGATTGTAAATAGAAAAAAAAGACGTTCAAACCTTAATACAACCTGGTAAGATTTACATCAAACTGATCTGTTTAACATGCTTACCTAAAAAACATTTTAAAGGTTATATAAGCACTTCTAAAAGGAAATTTGGTTTATAAAAAAAAAAAGAAACCCTAAAGTTAATTATTCCTATCCTCAAAAAAATTTAATCAAGTGGTCACATCTCCAAAATCAAGCTGTAATTAGTAAGAAGGGTAAAGCTGTACTCCAGACAGATAATAAAGCACTCAATTCCTGCAGATTAAGTGCACTTCTTTTGTTTTGGGACCATAGGGTTGTGTCCAGGTTCATGGGTAAACCAGTGGCATAACTACTAATTAGCTCTATTAGAGTTATGGTATCCTGTATACACATAAAGTGAGTTTAAAACAACCTGAGAATCGAAAGTAACATTGCTAGCAAACACCAAATTTTATGAGGCCTTATGCAGTCATGATACACCTGTGTCAGCCTACTATACATTTACATCCTGTAACTGCTTTTAAGGAGTTTCCATTTCCACTCGTATAATATGTCCATTTTACGTTTTAGGCTTTCAACTGGCTTCTTTGCAATGTCATTCAAACAACGTCTCTGCATGACATTTTATGGCACTTTGTGGCATCTCTTACACCTGCTCCACTAGAGCCAGAGGAAGAAGAGGATGAGGAGAATAAGGCAAATAAAGAGAATGCTGAACAGGTATGTGGTAGCAGTATCTGCTCTCCCTTCCCACTAGCTTATTGTCTTTGATGGTTATTTTAGTCTTTGTTTTGTTTGTTTTTTTTAGTTGGAATTGTAACTGCATTTTTCTACTGACTTTGTTACAAGAGCTTGTGATCATCCTTATAGATGTCTCTTCTATTAGGAAATGCTTTTAGCATAGTTTTCTATAGTTCTAAGATTTGGTCTCTGCATTAGAGTGCATCGTTTTTGCTTTGATTTTTATGCTAATTTTTCTGTCCCCAGTATCCTTACATGGCAAGTGTACTTCTAATGCATTATACCGTGGTGCCTTCCCATCCTTGTAAGCAGGTTTTCGTACCTACCATGGACAGCACTTACTCTATTGGCTTTATAAAAAAATGTCCATTAATGGACTAATGAGCTACAGACTAGCTTTCATTGAAGTTGAAGGGTATTTTGAACATAGGCTGCAAGGCCATGGGACAATCACAAAACTCTGTAAAGCAGCGAAAAATTCCAGTAGACTGGAAAGCAGGCGCCTAAAGAAGCTCTAACACCCACCGCTTTTATTTAATATGTTTTAGTGGCATTAACAAATAGCACTATGGGTGCCAGTTCTGTTTTTCTAAAGCTGATGTCAAGAGTTCAGCCTGTTAATATCCTCCTTTGTTTCTCTAAAACAGTCTCCTGAATGTGATGCTGATCTGGGCTCTTAGTAGATTGCTGTATTAAATCTGCATTTTGCAGCTCCTGTCTTATTTGTTTCATACTTTCTTTCATTTACTGCACTTCAAGTTTGTGCTGTTTAGAAATCCTAATTTCGTGGTAGCTGTGTAAAATGTATTTTAATCATAATGGAATTGTGGTGAGTTTTTCACTAACTCTACTTTCTATGTTTGCCTATTTCAGGAGAAAGATACAAGAGTCTGTGAACACCCTCTTTCAGACATTGTGATTGCTGGTGAAGCAGCGCACCCATTGCCTGACACGTTCCACCGTCTTCTCCAGACTATTTCTGATCTTATGATGTCACTTCCTGGGGGCAGTGCACTACAACAGATGGCACTGAGGTGAGCATCTTTTACTTGTCGTGACAAAATAAGTGCCATTAAACCAGAAATTAGAAACTCAACAGCTGCTTATACTAAAATTATTTAAATGAAAACCTTTGCTCATTTCTTTATTTGTAGGTGTTGGAGTCTAAAATTCAAGCAATCTGATCACCAGTTTCTCCACCAGAGTAATGTTTTTCACCACATTAACAACATCCTTTCGAAGTCTGATGATGGCGATAGCGAAGAAAGTTTCAACATTAGTGTGCAGTCTGGCTTTGAAGCAATCAACCAGGTTATTGTCAGTGTTACTCCAATCTTTCCATTTTGCATCAATTTATATCTAACATTAGTTTTGGAGCATTTTAAATTTTAAACAGTTTTAACATTTGGTATTTTGTATCTTTATTTTGATTACCAGACCACCACCAAGTGTTATACCGATGTAAACTAGATACAAACTGGCATTTGCATGAATTGTCACTTGTGCCTCCTGTAGAATGACAACTCCTACATTTGCCTCATATGTATGTAGCAGTGGTGCAGCTTTTTGCACCAGTAGGAAAACGGTCTTATCAGAAGTCACAAGTCTTAGTATCACTATGGCTCTAACATATTAAAGTTTTTCTAATTTCTAACAATGACCTTCTCTTATTTGCTACCTATACCATAAAAAGTGTTTTGTTATTTCTGTTCGGTAAGTGTGAAAAATACCTGTTGATCACATGACAAATTCAGAGCTGTCTTGTGCACACTTTCCCAAGCTCTACTAGTTTTTAGCAAAAGACAGCAAATCCACAAAATTGCTGTTTTCTCTGCCCACAACAGGATATAGTGACACTAAACTCAGGAGTTAAATCTTAAAAATGCATTCAAGTACCTAAGCCATCATCAAAAATGCATCTTATTTGTGTATCACTGGGCTGTATATCCTCAAATCATCTCTGAATTGGTGCTGACACTGTCCTTCCTTCTGGAGGGTGGCTACTTTTGTTCCCCATGGTCACTGTGTGTGTTGTAAAGTAGTCACCGCTCCAAGCTCACTTCTGTGATGGATTACAATCTCACATTTAGTTTACTAATTTGTACTGAGATTCTAGTCCATCAAGGGAGCGAGCTTGGAGTGGCGGCTACTTTACAACAGTAGCCGCCCTCCAGACGGAAGGACAGTGTTGGCACCAATTCAGAGATAATTTGTGGATCTACAGCCCAGTGATACACAAGATGCATTTTTGATGATAGTTAAAGGAGAACTATGGGGTCAGGGCTTTTCCCCATAGTTCTCAGGGTAACGGGAGGACAAAAACTAGCGTCCTCCAGTTACCCTAAGCTCAGTATACCGCGAGCTACAGCTCGCGGTATACTGAGACGCCAGAGCGGATCCCGACATCGCTGTCGAGATCCGCCCAGCTGTGTGAGTGACAGCTGGCTCTGCCTATCTAGAGGCAGAGCCAGCTGTACCTGCCCCCTCCCCCGTCCGTTCCGCCAGTCAGCGCTATCGGGGAGGGTGGAATCCAGCCCCTCCCCTGTCACGGCAGAGAGCCGTGACAGGATCGAGAGGTGAGCGCACGCCGGTATATGTTCGCTCACCTCCCGATCTACTGAGCCGACCTGTGACAGTCTCATTGTCACAGGTCGGCTAGAACTATGAGGTGAGTGAAAAGCACTCACCTCAAAGTTCTGCTTTAAGGTACTTAAATGCATTTTTGTAGTGTCACTTTAAGAGCTAAATGCATTTCTGTCAGATCAACAGGAATTTTTCTCTACTTGCAGGGTCTTTATGTAAATGAAACATTGGGAAACGTGTATGCATTTCAGAGATGTACTGCATGTTTTTGTTTTCATTTTGCCCTAATATAAACTTTAAAAACATGTCATTCATCATTTGATTTGTGCTAAGGAGTCTAGATCCCTTATAGCAATCAGCGGCTTACACAGAGTAGCTGTACAGGGGTGTTGACGGTAATGATTAAATGTAGCTATCTCTGTGTACAGCAAAGCTGTGAGTATTGAAAGTCAACGTTTGAAAACCCAAAATTTTATTTACATAAGCTTAAAACAACTTGTGTCTTTTGGTGTGAATGTCTGACAGTACAAATATCCTAAACCATTTCCATTTCATAGACCAAGTCTTCAGTCCAAGTGACCGAGTATTGGCATAAAAGTTTGTAAAACATTTCTAATTTACATTGTATCAAATAAAACCCCTCATCTGTGTTAGATTATTTTTAACTGTGACATACTGCACCTTCCTAACTCTTAAACCAATGTATATACTGAGTATCTCCGGTAATGCTTTGTGAGCAGCAGAATCTGCAGTGCAGTTCCCCAGTTAGAACAACGTTGTGTTATTATTGGTATATAAATATTATGTGCACACCTCCTAAAAAGTAAATGAATTTTGTCTTCCAGGAACTTTGCTTAGTTACTGCTCTTAAAGACATGACCAGCATTGTGGACATTAAGACTTCTAGCAGACCAGCTATGATTGGAAGTTTAACAGATGGGTCTACAGAGACATTTTGGGAGTCAGGAGATGAAGACAAAAATAAAACAAAGAGCATCACAATAAATTGTGTGAAAGGCATTAATACACGCTATGTGTCAGTTCACGTAGATAACTCTCGTGATTTGGGGGTATGTATAACCACTTTATTTATTGAGTGCAGGATTTTTTTAATCTATTATGTGTTCAGATATGATCTGGCTAAGGCGCCTTTTGTAAATTAGAGCAACCAAAAAGCAAGTAATTAGGTTTCAGTGTATGCAGATTAGAAGTTTATTCTGAAATGTTGCTTTGGTGTACCGTACACATTTTCAAATGGAATTTTGCATTATCATTTTTTTAATCAAACAATAATTACTATTGGGTATAAATGAGACTGTAAAGCTGGGCATACACTGACTATTTATTCCTCATTCAGCGATAACCCCCAACTGGCTATTGTAAGCTGACAACGGCTGATGTGCTGCTGTCAGAGGACAGCATTATTCAGTCAGAGGTCTGACATTATTCAGACTGGCTCCTTATATAAAAATCATCTTTTGTTGAGCGGGGGTGCTGACGGGACAACACGCTGCTTGAGTTTCACCTGAGTCAGAAGAACTCAGCGGAAATTTGAGCAGCGTATGGCCAGCTTCAATTAACCACTGTGAGCCAATCAATTTATCTTCCACTGCACAGTGCCGCCAGGCTAGCTTGCTTGCTGGCAGGCCTGGAGTGCCAAATAACTTCTTCAAGACCGCAGCATCCATAGGCCTGTTCTATTTTTCTGCCCATTTCATTATTGTGCACATTTTTGCTCATTTCTGTAAAGCAAAATTTTGCAGCAGTGCTCAAATTTTTTTCCCAGGGCTGGTTTGAATTTTCATTATGTTACAAATGTATCGTAAATGTTTCATTAACCATCACATAAAAATTAAATTGTAATAAAATATTTGAATAAGATCATTACTAATTGCATTATGCTTACAACAAATCTATTTTTTTTTGTCTTTTAAGAACAAAGTCACTTCATTGACCTTTTTCAGTGGGAAGACTGTGGAAGACCTGTGCAGAGTCAAGCAGGTAATGCTAATGTTAAATGCATTGGAGGAGAGGGCCTATTTTGTACTCTGTACTAGGGATGCACCGATACCGTTTTTTCAGTATTGAGTACCGATATTATTTTTTTCGGTACTCGCCCATACTGAATACCGATACCAGAAGTTCCATTAAGGAAACCGCCTGGCTTCCTGAATAGCCGGGAAGCCGACTCTATGCTCCCTCATCACCAAGTGGCGAGGCAGCATGGAGCCAGCTTCCCGGCCAATCAGGAGGCGAGGCAGTGTGTAACGATACCAGAAAGTGTCGGTATCGTTAGCATTTGGGGCGAAAGACTACTTTCTACTGAATCACATTGTTTGAATGACTACACATTTCATATAAACACCTTTTTTTCAACAGGTTGTTCTAGAAATGCATTTTGAATTAAGCTTACAACAGCATAGGAGCCCTGTTTTCTTTATTTTTTTTTTATTTTCAACTATACAGGAAAAAACAAAGCTTTTAAAAGTACAGCGAGCATATCTAGATATTTAAAAAAAAACCATGAGGGAAATTTATCAAAACTGAAGCAGACAAAATCTGGAGCGGCTGTGCATGGCAACCAATCAGCTTCTCTCATCAGTCTGTTGAGGTGAGATTTGAAAATCTAAAGCTGGCCATACACCTAAAGATTATCTGCAGATTTTCTATGGTCAGATGGAAAAAGTGCAACAGATTCCTCAATCTACGCTAAACTGTGTGGTTGAAGGAATTTCACACTGGGCCAAGCTTCAGTATCTTGCTAGTCGGCCCCTCTGGCTCTCACAATGCCTGCATCCAATCAGATTGTTCAGGTAATTTGAGAGCCAGCTGGGCCAACTAGCAAGATACTGACGCTTTGCTCAGTGGGAGATTCCTCCATCCACACAGTTAAGCGTAGATAGAGGAATCTGTTGCACTTTTTCATCTGACCACAGAAAATCTGCAGATAATCTATAGGTGCATGGCCAGCTTTAGAGAGAAGCTGATTGGTTGCCGTGCAGATTTTGTCTGATCCAGTTTTGATAAATTCCCCTGAAAAAACGAAGTAGTTTGTTTTACTTTGGTGTTGCCCTGATTGGGATTTGCCCAGCTTTGTTTTATATCCCATTCTCTGCTCTTTAGAATAGTTCAGGGTTTCTTAATATTTTCTAATAGTGCGATTTATCTGTTTATGCACTCACCCATAATATGATTACTGTAGTTCTTTTAATGAGAGCCTCTTACTATGAGAGCTGCCATGACTGGCTTTGAGATTGCATGTTTTGGGTGAAGCTGTCATTCTTAACCTTCCTGTAATGTGTGGTGTGTCTCTGAGGAAGGAGTCCTGGCACTTGAGTGGTTGCATGCTTGTTCTGGTTGGTAACGAAGGATGACATCCAGAGCTTTCACCTTTGGAAGAAGGTCTGCAATGTTTATCCAGAAGGTTTCCCTTTTTAAAAGGTTACCAATGCACATGTGCTACTCCCTGATGACATTGTAAAAGCATGACCTGTATACAGCCGCTAAAGACAAGGTTTGAGAAAAAAATATTATCTCCACGTCATGGAATTATTTAAAAGATTTGGAGCATCTTGTAGTATAGCAAATCCAGTCTAGCAAATTCTGTATTATCCTCAGGTCTTGGAAGCTTTTGTTGAGTGTAATAAATATGTATTGTTGCTGTATAAATTGTAACCAAGTCTCTTTCTACTCCAAGGCTGAATTGGATTCTAGGCACATTGGCTGGGTAACAAGTGAACTTCCTGGAGGAGATAACCATATCATCAAGATTGAGATGAAGGGCCCTGAGAATACACTTAGAGTGCGGCAAATTAAAGTGCTTGGCTGGAAAGATGGCGAGTCAATAAAAATATCTGGACAGATTTCAGCTAGTGTAGCACAGCAAAAGAACTGCGAATCAGAGACACTGCGTGTGTTCAGACTGATAACATCACAGGTAAGTGACATCAGCTAATCATAGTAGACTTGGTTTTTATAGAGTGACATCTGTTGTTTGTCTGGAAACATGTTTGCTGTGACCCAGTATAGTCAGGCCCATCCCTTGTTCTTCAGTGTGGAAAATGTATCATTTTAATTACATTTATTATTATTATACAGGATTTATATAGTGCCAATAGTTTGTTCAGCTCTTTACAATATAAGGAAGACATTACAATACAATTCAAGACAAGATGGTAATGAGGGCCCTGCCCCCTGAGGGCTTACAATCTAAAAGAGAGGGGCCAGTGGTACATGAGGAGGTAGCTGTGTGGGGATGAATTGTTTGGGATTGTGATGATTTTTTTTGTTCTTTGCCGTTTAAAATCTTAAAATGTAAGTTATTGGATCTTCTAATTTTTAGTCTCCACCTTTCCACTTTGCATAGGCATTCCCACAGATACTTATGTAATTATAGGCACCACTCCGTGTGATAAGGTGTTTGCACAGCAACATTTGACTTGTGCCAAAAGAAAGGCGACTACTAGCTAGAATTGTGGGCTCTGTAGGGCAATGAGAGGATGGAGACTAAAAGCAATGAAATATCCAGATGCTCTATGTTGCCAGCTTTAATGTGCACATATGGTTTTCAGGTTTTCTTTAAAACATTGAACCTTAGGCGTAAAATTAGCCACTGGGTCTCTGTGGGCATAGCGCCTACAGACTGACAAATTCACTTTTGGTTTCCAGGTTTTTTTTTTTGTCCACCCCAATATGTCACAGCTGCTATAGGTAGTAGTTTTAAACCAATACAAAATTTACCATATACCTCCTAGCAGTAGTTAGTCACGTTCTAGGTGTGCACTAGGCTTGCTCTGTAGTGTTGAATATGTTTTACTACTCAGAGGTTCTTCAACTCCAATGATTCACGAACATAACACGACAATTCTACTAGATATATACTAGGTATACCATGACATGGATAAATGAGAACCCTCAAAGATCTACTTTTTCCCATTTCCTAGATGTGTGCCTTATATTACATGTAATGCCAATTGCTTCCTCAAAACACTGGTTGTCTTGTATTTTTATAGAGAAAAGTGCTGATTCTGATTTACAGAAGTAAAATTCCCTTTTACCACACAGGTATTTGGCAAGCTGATCTCTGGGGATGCAGAACCAACACCAGAACAAGAGGAGAAAGCTCTGCTATCCTCACCTGAGGGCGAGGAAAAGGTATACCGGAACATTACTGAGTTCTGATAAGATATGAAGAAATCTTGTCTCAGACTGACGGAACATGGCGCTATCCTCTGTCATGATTATCAACAATTACAATAAGCCTTGTTTGTAGTGTTTTATTAGAGAGACATATTTAAGAATATACATAATGATGTCATGTTATTTTCTTTGTATAATTGACCAATAGTATACTATTCAGTTAATAATGCAGTATTTATTGGACATTTGGATGCCCTCTAATATATGCTTTATATGATGCATGTCTCTAAATGTACCTCTCCATTGTTTGAAGAAAGCTGCCCACAATTGTTCAGATTACCTGAGGAAAAGGCTCATTTTAGATGACCTGTGATAACTGGTGCATATATTGGTTGCACTGACTCCCCCACACAATTTTGTTCTATATGGATCGGGAATATAGCTATTCCAGAAGGTTCATATGAACAGTTTTTCATATTGCCTTAAAGTTATTTATGATGGAGATTACAGTGTATGTTGGTGTCTTAATCGTTTTTATTTTGCAGGCAACCTCTGATGCAGACCTCAAGGAACACATGGTTGGCATCATATTTAGCAGGAGCAAACTCACCAACTTACAGAAACAGGTATGTAATAATGCCACAGTTCTACCCCAATATAATAATGAAATTAAGGTTTACAAATGATAAACCGTTACAAATAGTTTTTTTGCTTTTCTGTTTGCTTTTTTTTTTTGTTCTTCTGTCGCCATGACTCCACTCTAGAGATACTGGGGGTAATTCAGTAAAGCATTTGTGACCCTTTTTTGGAGGTATGGTCCCTTTAAAAAGGTCCGGCGCCCAAATCATAAAAGCCTTGCAACAGTTTTGTTAAGAGTTCAGTCATGTGCACCAAATGCAGGTAGTTCTTATTTGCACCACTTTCATAATGTGTCGCAACGGCTGTGTCAGTTTCAAAAAGAATTACCGCTAGTTTGTAGACAATGAAATTGTAAGTAAGACCATTTCCAAGTTGCCGTACAGAGACAAGCCAGTGCTCCGAGTGGAGCGGCTGTATAGTAAATAGCAGGGTATGCTTGCTCTGTTCTTTACTACACAGCGACAAGGCAGCTTAGCGCTGTTTGGTTGCTAGGAAGCCGACATTCCAGCAACCAATGACACATCCCCTGCCCCATTCAGCTGCCTGATGGGAAATTACCCGGCCGACAGTTGGATGTAAACAAATGCGCTAGGTATGCTGGCTGACCTTCTTATTAACCATATATGGCAGTGACCAGTTTTGGTCGGCACAATCCCTGCCCCTTGGTTTACATTCAACTGTCGGCCCGGGAATCTACCAGCCGGCAGGGGATGTGTCCTTGTCCTAGCAAACAAGGAAGTTGTGCAGCTCCAGGGATGAACATGAACAGAAGATGGAGTGTCCGTGGGATGTATACTGTGGACTCAGTTCAACCCCCACCATACCTCCATTAGACAAATTTATGTACCCGTTTCCGACAAATTTATGCATGTATCGCAGCCACCAACATTTGTCTACGTCACTCTTTATGAATTCCGAGGAGTATGTTTTAGTTACAAAAGAAAATATTTAGAACTCCTAATATGTTTTTTTTTTTGTGTTGACAATATATTTGCAAAATGGAAGTTCTTGCCTGGAAATCCTGCCAGTAACAGTACATTCTGTCAGGCAGACAACGCTAAGCTGGTGCCTCACAATTAGCACCAACATTTTAAGCCTTCTATGTGTGCTTGGTCATTGGGCCACCTCTCTGGTCTGCAAAAGGCATGCACAAACCTGATTGGCATCCTAGTGACCAACTGGAGGTGCACGTAGGGCAGGCTTACAACGTTCCTGGCAATTATGACACACCAATTTAGCGTTGTCAGTCTGAAACAGAAAGTGCTGTTACTGGCAGGATCTCCAGCTAAGAAACTTTGCAATAGATACTAAAATATTTTTTTTTCAAAAATCGTGAGGCACAATGGCCAACACACTGAAAACCAGATTTGTGGTCTACATTGAAGTTTTTCATTTTACTAGATGCCATAATCCTAATCTAGTTTTGTTACCTGATGTTTCCATGTCTAATGACTTGCAGGTATGTGCCCACATAGTACAAGCAATCAGAATGGAGGCTACACGAGTCCGAGAAGAGTGGGAACACGCTATTTCCAGCAAGGAAAATGCAAATTCCCAGCCAAATGATGAGGATGCTTCATCTGATGCTTATTGTTTTGAACTGCTGTCTATGGTACTTGCACTGAGTGGGTCCAATGTTGGAAGGCAGTATTTAGCTCAGCAATTGACATTACTGCAAGATCTCTTCCACCTGCTGCACACAGCATCTCCTAGAGTACAGAGACAGGTGAGTGCATCAGCTTCTATTTACCTTACATAGTGGTTTCTGCATAAGCATACCGGATTAGGGAAGGTAGTATTCGACTTACATCAAACAAAGTCAAGATATTTGTGAATATCAGAAAAAAAAAATGCAAATTGTTTTACTTCTGTTGGCAAATGTTTACACACACCCACACACCCACCCAACCACCACCCACCCACCCATCATACCCATCACCACCACCCACCCATCACCACCACCCAACCACACCCACGCATCACCACCACCACCACACCTGAGATTCCCACACTACTGTCCTCCAGCAAAGGTGTAGAAATGCACATTGTGCTCCACAGTATATTTAATAAAACATCCAGCTTCATTGTGACATGCCTACAGGCTGTTTTGAAAACAAAGGCCGTATGGTCACTGGCACATGGACAGATCTAACAAGCTGGATTGCGGGAACAGTTTGCTCAAACTACTAGCTTAGTGAATGTTTAGAGATTCACTCACCTCCTTAGTGAAGTATAGTCAGTAGATGCCCTGTAACAGTATTTTTTGTAATATCTGTTCATGCAGATTTATGATTTTTTTTAGTTCCTGATGAGGCATAACAAAGTTGAAGTTACTTAAATAAAATGTGCAAAATGGCCGTCAACCATGTAATTGTAATAGGGGAGTAACTTATGGGAGATCAGAGATACCACTATCATGATTACTTTACTATTAAATTGCGGTCACTGCTATGCGCTCCTTTGGAAGTCAGAAGTGGTAATTCTACAGCTTACAGGTCTCTGTCAAGGTCATTGCTCTTCTATCATGTCTACCGAAATGCTGTCTTTATCATTATGTGCTATAACCAGATATACTTTAGACTTAGGAACCTTGTTCTGTGGTGCAGAAATAACCTTGCGGAGTTCCCTTTCACAGGTAACCTCTCTGCTGCGGCGTGTCCTGCCTGAAGTGACACCAACTCGTCTTGCTAGCATCATTGGAGTCAAGTCTCTGCCACCAGCAGACATCAGTGACATTATCCACTCTACAGAGAAAGGAGACTGGAACAAGCTGGGCATTTTGGATATGTTCCTGGGATGCATCGCAAAGGCACTCACAGTCCAGCTGAAGGCCAAAGGAACACCAATCACTGGCACTGCAGGGATGAGTGCTGGAAAAGGTGTAACAACTGTCACTTTGCCAATGATCTTTAATTCTAGGTATGTACTACTAGATCTTATACCGTAGCACAAAATATTCCTCTTCTTCCTAAATGACTAGTCTTTTAGCTTAGCATTTGTCTTATTCCAACAGTTTGTTCAAGCCAGAAGTCTATTACCTACTGGTCAGGGCTTCATGTCTTTTTTAAAAGATCGATATTATCTTGGACTCGTGTCCATTAAGATTAAAGTCAAGCTAAATGCAACTTTTTAATTTTATTATTTCAGAGACTGTAACGAACAGGGGGAATTGGCCACTGACAAAAAAAAGTGGTCAGCCTGTATAATCTGTTTTATTCTAGCGTCCTAGGAGAATGAACACTTTTTATTCTGCTCCTTGGAGAAAAGTCTAATTTTTTTTGATTGGAAACTAGCTTTGGAGGCCGTACCTGAACCCCCCTTGACGACTGTGGTGCTAGCATGGAATGTGACATTAGAGCACTGGGCTCTGCATTGTGGTGCTTCCATCCTGGACTGATGGTAGTTTCCTTCTAGGCAGTCCTGTTTGCTCAGTTCTACTACAGACCTCCACATCTCAACATTCTTTGTTTGTTGAACAAGTTGGCTGGGTCCTTGAACAGGCTGACCTGTGTCACAGGTGTGGGAAGCCAGTTTTGGACCTCCTGGCCCACAGGTTTGTCTCCAGGTGCAGAGAGCCTCTGGCTGAAGCAGTGGAGTCTCTGGTGGCTCTACGGGATCTGTACAGCCTGATTGCCTTGTCTTTCCTTCTCTTAAACTTGTAGTTCATGCTCTGCATGTCTAACTCGCAGCTACTACTTCCATTAGAAAGACTGCTTGTTTCTTTGTCGTTCCTGTAAAGAGGTACAAGCTTCTCCTTTCACCATTTCTCTGTGTCTTGGGCAAATCATCTTTCAAGCTTATGGTCTTAAGGTTAGAGTTCCACTCTTTCCTTTCAATGAGTATGCTAATGGTTCTGTGAGTGTTTTTTAGGTTTTTCGGCTTCAGGCTACTGTCTCCCACATTTTGCAAGGCTGTCCCTGGTCTTCCATTCACTGTTCTCTATTTTGTATTTTTTTTGGTACATATTTAGGACTTGTTTGATGCCAGCTTTTAGCGCAAGGTTCTTCAGGCGGCTCTTTGTGTTTTTTTTTGTGGGTTTTTTTAGTATTTATTGTTGCTTTTGCCTACCCCTCAGTTTGAGTGCTTCTGAATTTCTGTGTCCCTCAAATGGGATTTTAAGCTAAGTACAAAAATTCCATAGTTTTTTTGGGGGTGAGTTTTAAAATACTGTTTTGCTATATTGAATTGTATAATTTTTCTGAGTATTTCATAATAGTAAACATGATGAATGCATAACAAACTGCTTCTTCTGTAGCCAAAAATGTATATTTTTATTTTCTTTTAATCAGTTACCTCAGAAGAGGTGAGAGTCACTGGTGGATGAAAGGCTCAACTCCAACTCAGATTTCTGAGATCATCATTAAATTGATTAAAGATATGGCAGCTGTAAGTATTACCAAACTTAAATACACATCTTTTTTTCTCAGGTCTATACCACAGTTCTTTCACAATACATTTAGAAGTGTGTCATAGGTCCAGTACTAGTCACTCTACCTTTGCTTCATTCATTCTTTTATTTAGTAGTGATTAATAGGATATGTGTTCATTTCTTTCTGTTACAGTCAGTGATAACTTATTATCTGGTTAGTTTAACTGCCAGGAGCGTCTAGCGCAAATCATTTTAATGAGTTTCACTGTTTTATATGGTGTGAATTTCTCATGTCACTACTTGTTTGTTTTTTGGGTGGGGTAGTCCAAAGTAAAATAACAAACAATTGGGTTTTGACTACCTTATTTTTAGGGTCACCTTTCAGAGGCATGGTCGCGGGTCACTAAAAATGCAATTGCAGAGACAATCATTGCACTGACAAAAATGGAGGAGGAGTATCGATCCCCCGTACGATGTATTGCCACTACCAGGGTAAGGTTCTTCATTTAGTTTCAAGGTGAATTTGTGCCCAGATCATGAAGACCAAAGTATATAATACATATTCTGAGTGAGCAGTAATAGCACTATAAAACAAGTCCTTATTCACCTCTATCTTTAAGCATTTTCAAGAAATGTACTGTCAAAGTCCACAGCTCTTAGGCCCCGTTCACATTGAGCGGTTCGCGCGCGATTTGCATTTTGCGCGATATCACGCGATTTGTCGCGTGATATCGTGCAAATGCTTGCATTGAGCAAGCGAGAATCACGGCAAAATCCGCTCCAAAAAGGGTCCTGCTGTAGCGACACACGACCCGCGACAGCAGGACCCTTTGCCCCATTGAGATGCATTGAAGAGCGATATCGCGCGGTAAATAGCCGCGATATCGCGGAATTACCGCGCGATAAATCGCTCAATGTGAACGGGGCCTAATGTCATGTTTTTGTATGAGAGTAGACCTTGGCAGGATTCCAGCCCTTTAATGTTAAGTGGAACTTGCCTTTAGAGTCTTGTGATTTTAAAGATTTGTGAGAATGAATAACATTACAATTAAAGCAGCAGGGATGGCTAGTTATAAAGCACTTTGACTTGCCTGTTTAGGAATATGTAATCAGTTTAATGTCTAGGCACATGTTGCGTCTTCCATTTAACTCTGCACATCCTAGTGGTGCTGCACCAGCCCTAAACTGACCATATTCACCCACTGCTTTCTCCCTGGCATTGCCAGCAATTCATTCAGGCCACACATTGAATTTGGCCTGAACAGCTCTATGGGGTCTATTTATAAACTATTTGAAGGAAAGTTTGCCCTGCAAATATCTGTGACTGTTCTGTGTGGATTTATGCCAACACAGACGTCCTTTTTTTGTTTCTTTACAAGGGAATGTATTTTTTATGTAATACCTTGGTATAAAATTCATTTCAGTACAGCGTTGCATGACGGAATAAACGTCAGTCAAAGTACCGCAGCGCTGAATACTGAAAAATGGCCTGGCCAGGAAGGGGGTCTAAACACCTGGTCTTGAAGTGGTTAAATATGCCTCTTATGTTCCATCTAGTGGCCACAATGAAGTAGAACATGACAATTAATTCCACTTGTATAGAAAAAAACGAAAGAACATTTATTGTCAATATATTTGCACAAAGTGAACACTAACAGATATTCGCAGGGCAAAAGGCCCTGCACTTTTGGCTGCTTTGTGTGTGATTGCATAAAAAGATTTTCCAGCACAACGCAGAAGCTTTCAAAGCTACTTTACAATCCCTCCCTTTTGCATTTTAAAAAAGGGGCAGTCATTTTTAACTGTGGCCTTGACAAACAGAATATTGAAAGGAAGAGATGGATATCTGGACATGAATGTCAAGAAATAACTCTCCATGTGGCCAGATCAGTAAATTTAGCTGCCCTATCAGAGCTAACTCATGTATATCTCCCCAGAACAGCCACATTTGTTTGCTACTCCAAAGATCATGCATTTGAAGACCTCACCATGCTATACATTGACAAAGTGTGTGTGTGTGTGTGTGTGTGTTTTTTTTTTAGCTATGGCTTGCTGTTGCATCATTGTGCGTGCTTGATCAAGACCATGTGGACCGGTTATCTTCTGGAAGGTGGATGGGAAAGGATGGACAGCAAAAACAAATGGTAACTTTTTGTGTTTTCAAAATGATTCATGTTGTCTTTTATAGGCCTATTGTAGTAGTTTTCCAAGCTTCCAAGCCTTGTTCATTCTACCTCCATTGGTCTGTGTTGCCCCAGGTCCATTGCACTTTTTCAGGCTTTAAAGTGGACACGCAAATCCCGTGTGCATGCAACTCTACATTCTGCTCCCTGAACATCTGTACCTCTTATGTAACATAAAAGATTTTTGTATTAACTTAGTTTTTAACCCTGTCCCATGGGAATGCTGCATCTCCATTGCCCCCCCCCTCCCCCCCCCTAATATATAAAGTGTAATGGTAGCGCGCTGAGTGCATATGTGCTGGTTCTTCCTCCAAGTCATTGATGGGGGGAGGGTGGGCAACACATTTCAGGTAGTAAAGGGAGATGTGATCCTCTGCCCTTACTGAATGGCTGCCGGGATCAGAGCGGTGAAGAGAAAATTATAAAGCTATTGAAAGAAACAAAATCCTGTAAAGTTCATGTTGGTTGGATATAAACTGGAGAAAAGGCGTGCGTACACACTGGAATATTGATGTACCACCCAGCATAGACTGCAGTACTCCTAAGAGGATCATCCATAGAACATGGGATCTTATATAGTATACTTTAAGATGGGAAGGCCTGTGCTTATCCTTTTAAACTTACTGCGATGTTCCTTTCCAGCTCTTCATGCCGAAAGAGAATCTATCATTCACTTAAACCATTTAATGTATAGGTTAAATAAGCAAGTTGTTTAAAAATGTGTCTGTCTCATATTTGTATCTTTTGTGTTTTAGCCAATGTGTGATAATCATGATGATGGTGAAACTGCGGCAATCATTTTGTGCAATGCCTGTGGAAACTTGTGTACAGACTGTGATAGGTTTCTACATCTCCATCGGCGAACAAAATCCCATCAAAGACAGGTAAAGTGCAAGAAAGACTTCACAATAGTGACACCCTTCCAGCCAAAACTGTACATGTAAAATGTTTTGTTTAGTTGTTACTATAATGAGCTCAGTTTACCTGAAGAAGGTATTTTCCTTGATCCACTTGGTACATTTGATTCTCTGAACCATGACACCCCTTATTCTTCATACGTGATATGGCTGTTCGTATCCGCGTGAGTGAGCTATGCCCTCCGCTATGAATTTTCAGCCACATAAATGTAATATTCATGGAGACCATTTATTTGCTAACGGCAGTGTAACGGGTGGATTTTTTGCACTTACTGGATCAGGAGTAAATAATTTTCGCATAGTTGTTGCCAAACCCCCACAAAGTTCTTGGTTGCCATCTCTTTTTAACAGTCAAATGTATGCAGTTCACAATATATCCTCTTTAATATCTGGATCCCCGAAACTGTAAACCTGTATAGATATATAAAGATATCCAGTAATCGCTAGTACAACTTCAATCATTCATTATATTTCACACAGGTGTTCAAAGAGGAGGAAGAGGCAATCAAAGTTGATTTACATGAGGGCTGTGGGAGAACTAAACTATTCTGGTTAATGGCTCTTGCCGACTCTAAAACCATGAAAGCAATGGTGGAATTCAGAGAACAAACGGGTAAGTATTACATGTTGATAGTACATTGTGAAATAGGCAGCAGTGTTCTTTCTAGTCAGCAGCTGACTGTTTTCCTACTCTGTTTAAGATGTTGCTTTTCTGTCTGTTAATGATGTTATGTCATATATTGGACACCCACAGAAAGTAACACCAGCAGTGTCAATTACTACCATCAATTACTGATAGTGCCATTGCTCTATAAACTGCTGTTTCTATCATAGGAAAACCTGCAAGCAGCAGCTCGGAAACCTGTCGTTTCTGTGGCTCTAGAAATGGGACAGAATTATCAGCTGTGGGCAGCGTGTGTTCTGATACAGACTGCCAGGTAAGTCAGTTGCTCATTCAGACGTCTACCATATTTAATGAAGTCATCACTCTGATACCAAATTTCTGTTTCCAGGAGTATGCAAAGTCTGCCTGCAGCAAGACCCATTCGTGTGGGCATCCCTGTGGAGGTGTGAAGAATGAGGACCATTGTTTGCCTTGCCTACATGGTTGTGACAAAATTGCAACAAGTCTGAAGCAGGATGCAGATGACATGTGTATGATATGCTTTACAGAAGCGCTCTCTGCAGCTCCTGCAATTCAGGTTGGCTATTCAAGTTGGGGGAGGTCTGATCATTGAAACCAACGTTGAACCCCCTCTCCCCCTGCATGTTTTTGAGACTTGTGTTTATGGTTTGGAGGAAATATGAATGTAATTTTCAGCAGTATTGATTTACACACTCTTGCAACATAATTTCCTATACTATTGTAAATGTTGCTTACGTTTCACAAGCATCTTATGAAAAAGTAAAAGGGCTGTGTTCAGTGAACTGTGACTACTTCCTTGCATGGAATGCAAGACATAAGTAATATTGTTAACTCATTTTTCTTTCTCATATTACTTTGAGCAACATAGGAATTCCAAGAATTAAATTTGGGCCTACAGGAGAATCTGGACTCTGACAAACTCCGCCTCAGCATAGAAAAGTCTGACCTTTTTGCTAGCTAAATTTTTTTTAATCAAGCTTTTTGTTACATTGCTGCTGAGCGGGTCTCTATACGCAGCTATCCGGATCAACATTGATCAACAACATCAACATGTGATGCAAGGGGGTCATCGCACTAATCCCTGTGGGAAGGAGTCCTGCTAAATTCTGTTCAGTTCACAAGCCGAAAGGTGGCATCCCTCCCATCTTGGATCTCAAGGCCCTTAAATGTCTTCATTTGGATTCAAAAATTCCACATGCTTCCCTAGTCTCATGGAGACTTTCTGGCCTCTGTACACATCAAAGATGCTTACCTGCATGTCCTCATTTTCACAGCCCATCAGTGATTCCTTCATTTTGCGGTGGGTCTCCAGCACTTTGTAGCCCTGACATTCTGCCTATCTTCTGCACCTCGGTTATTCACCAAGTTGTTGGCTCCTGTGCTATCCTTGCTGCTCTCACAGGGCATCCACATTGTGGGATATCTGAATGTTGAGGGAACAGTCGGCGCAGGTTCTGGTGTAGGTTCAAGCTTGGATCATCTGGACTTTGCAAAGATTTGGCTGCATTCTGGACCTGCAGAAGTCAGTACTTGAAATATCTGGGTCTAATTGCAGCACAAGCCAGAGTGTTTCTCCCTCAGGAGAAAATTAAAACGCTCTGCTCCCAGACTCCGCCTCTTCCACCCAGGATTTGCCCAAGTTTTTGCTTTTGCATTTTTGCCTCTTTTCAGACTATTTCAATTAGAGCTGCAGCTAACGATTATTTTCAAAATCGATTACTTAGCCCATTATTGAGTTCGATTAACCGGTTAATCAGGATTATTAAAAAAACGGCTCCAGTGATGGGACTACTGTATGTTTGTATTGAGATTGCAGTCCATCACAGGAGCAAGCTTGGAAAAAAAAATATATATAGTAAAATGGAAAGTGTAAAATTATACAGCAATCAATGCAGAATGGCACCGGCTAAAGAGGACTACAAATACCAGTAATAGTACATTATACAGTCGTGCAATGCAGAATACCACCAGCTAGAGAGGAATACAACAAATCCCTGCAATAGTACATTATAACTGGTGGTATTCTGCATTGCGCTGTATAGAGGACTACAAATCCCAGCAATAATATATTACATGCCGCAATGCAGAATACCACAAGCTACAGAGGAGTACAACACATCCTTGCAGCACATTATACATACAGTGTACAATGTATTGCTGGGATTTGTACTCCTCTATAGCTGATGGTACATTGTGCTGTATATTATACAAACACTGTACCATCAGCTATAGAGGAGTACAACAAATCCCAGCAATAATATATTACATGCCGCAATGCAGAATACCACAAGCTACAGAGGAGTACAACACATCCTTGCAGCACATTATACATACAGTGTACAATGTATTGCTGGGATTTGTATTCCTCTATAGCTGATGGTACAGTGTTTGTATAATATACAGCACAATGTACCATCAGCTATAGAGGAATACAAATCCCACTATCCAAGCAATATATTATAGAGCACCATGTGGGGGGGAGGGAAGTGCAGGCTTACCTGAGCAGTCTTCCAGCAACTTGCTTCTGAGATCGGGCCTGTCTATTGGCAGCTGTTATCCCCCCAAGCCTGCGCCTTCTTACTTCTTCTCCCCGCGTCCCTGTGCCAATCGTGGATCTGTGCGGGCAGTGAGTGTGAGGCACTGAGGAGGTGCGGCGTGGATGTGGGTCTGGTGGCAAGCGTGAGGCGGAGAGGAGGTACGGCGCGTGGCGTGTGGAGCCGTGAACAGGGCCAACTAATCGAAAGCTTATTAATCGATGATTGAAAATGTTGACAACTTTTTCAATCATCGATTATAATCGACTTAGTCAATTAGTTGTTGCAGCCCTAATTTCAATTGCGCTGTTCCATCCCAGACCGCTTCAACACAACATTCTGTAAGTGTGGGACGCCCCGATTCATCCAGCTCTATGGAATCCTGCTCTGGAGTTGGGGAAGTACTTTCTTACAATCTCATGGAAGATCCTCTTGACATTTAACATCCTTTTGGCTAATGAGGAATCCCAGGCACCCTGTTGATCCAGGGGACTTGCACATCAGTGGAAACTAGTTTCACAATTAACATGAAACTTCAGGCAATGTGGACCTCCTGGCCTCGTGTTCAAGAAAAAAATGAACAGGTTTATCTCCAGGTGCAGCGATCCTCTAGAGGGAGCAGTGGATGTTCTGGTGGCTCCATGGGATCAGTACATCCTAATCTTCTCCATTCTTCCCCTGTAACTTTTGTCTGCTCCATAGGATCGAGCTGGCAGCCTTATCCTGTATAGAACCCTTACTGGTCTTACACAGAAAGGAGGTGTTAAGGCCTAGAGCTTTCTTCCTTCCTAAGGCAGTTTAAGCCTTTCACCTTAACCAGGACATTGTTCATCCATCCCTCTGTCCAGCTTCAGTTCATCAGGAGATCTCCCCTTATTGCCTGGATGTAGTTCATACTGTGCGCATATACCTCATAGCCACTGCTTCCCTTGGAAAGACGGACTCTCTTTTTGTGATTTTTCTAATGGTCCCTATTAACTTGCTTCTCCATCATTTTGCAGTGGCTCAGACAGATTAACATTTAAGCTCATGGTCATAAAGCTAGGTTCCCACCCTTTCCTTTCAAGGTGCACTCTGCTAGATCTGGAAGTGCGTTTTGGCATCAAGCCCCTGCTTCCCAGATTTGCAAGCCAGATGTTCAGTCCTCATCTGATGACAGTTCTGGGTGTAAGGGCTGCCGGGCAGCGTTTTGAGCTGCAAATAGGCCCCTGTTTTGTTTTTTTGTCGCTTTTGCCCACCCCTCACTTGGACTGCTTTTGGGGCTCCTCTCTGAATTCCTGTGAACAAAAAATGGGAATGTTGTATGTATGGTAAAATACATTTCTTCATTACAGTTCAATTAGGGACACTAGAGTTCAATAAGCTTCACCCCTCCATGTCTATGATCATGTTCTTGGTTCCACAAACTGAGGCATGCCAGGAGTAGGAGGGGCTATAGTGGGCTGGCCACAGTTGTTTGTTTGCCAGTGTCACAATTCTCATTTTAGGTGGCAGTATAAACCTACAGTCTCTGAATTCCTGTGTTCCTCAATGAACTCCAAGAAATGTATTTGATGGTAAGTATAAATGTCCCATTTTAAAATGCTGGTAGAACAGTACACAGCCCGCCACCTTACAACAGTTCATTTAGACACTTTCTGTGTTATGATGTACAGTATATATTCATAGATATTTCTCATTCCTGAAAACACTTTACATGTCTTTTCTCTTTTGATACTCAAATTTGAGGGGGATTTATTTCGGTCAGAGCTTAAAGGAGCGTAACATTAATCTTCCGTCCTATGTCATTCTTTAGCTTGACTGCAGCCATGTGTTTCACTTGCAATGCTGTAGACGGGTTCTGGAAAACCGATGGCTGGGGCCGCGAATCACCTTTGGATTTATGTCCTGTCCAATCTGCAAGGTGAGTAGTAGAAGAAAATGACTGGACGGATCAGACACACCCGGTAAAAAGTAACAATCTCATAAAATTAGAGCTGCAGCTAACGATTATTTTCAAAATCGATTAGTTAGCCGATTATTGAGTTCGATTAATCGGTTAATCGGATAATCGGATAAACAATAAAATACATTTTAAAAAATGGCTCCAGTGATGGACAGCCAGCTTTGGAGCGGTGGAAGTAAAAAAAAAGTGTGGTGTGCAATATAGTGAAATGGAAAGTTTAAAATTATACAGCACCATGCAGAATATCACCAGCTATAGAGGAGCACAACAAATCCCAGCAATAGTACATTATAGCTGGCGGTATTCTGCATTGCGCTGTATAATGCATTGCACTGTATATAATGTATTATTGCTGGGATCTGATGTATTCCTCTATAGCTGGCGTGATATTCTGCATTGCGCTGTATAATTTACTGTTGCTGGGTATTGTAGTCCTCTATAGCTAGTGATATTCGGCATTGCACCACTGTATAATGTATTACTGCTGGGATTTGTTGTGCTCCTCTATAGCTGGTGGTATTCCGCATGGTGCTGTATAATGTATTATTGCTGGGATTTGTAGTCCTCTATACAGCGCAGTGCAGAATATCACCAACTATAGAGGAGTACAACAAATCCCAGCAATACATTATACATATAGTGTATAATGTATTGCTGGGATTTGTAGTCCTATGTATAATATACAGCACAATGTACCATCAGCTTTAGAGGAATACATTATAGAGCACCATGTGTGGGAAAGTGCAGGCTTACCTGAGCAGTCTTCCAGCAACTTGCTTCTGAGATCGGGCCTGTCTATAGGCGGCTGTCATCCCCCCACACTTCCTCCTCTTACATCTCCCCGCGTCACTGTGCCGATCGTGGATGTGGGCGGGTGGTGAGTGTGAGGCGGGAAGGAGGTGCGGCGTGTAGAGCGTGGATGCGGGCGGGCGGGTCTGGCAGTGGTGAGCGTGAGTTGGGGAGGAGGTGCACAGCGTGTGTGGAGCTGTGAACAGGGCCAACTGATCGGAAGCCGATTAATCGATTATTGAAAAAGTTGACAACTTTTTCAATAATCGATTATAATCGATTATGTCGATTAGTTGTTGCAGCCCTACATAAAATACCATGTGATACCTATTATAGTTTTCTGTCTGTATATAGTCAATATTTGCATATAGATGACATGTCTAGTCAGCAGCACATGAGTGAGATGAGTTTTCCTTTATAAATATATACATTTGGCACTTTGTGCGCAAAGGGAGCTGCGGGACACATGAAATTAAGCTGCCCATGGATAATACATGACAGTTGTCCAGCTTGGCTGTTTTCAGCCTATGTGAGCAGAATGATGCCGTCTGGTTTATTATAATCACAGTGAACATTGATTAGACATGTTAGGAAACCTATCCTGATATCCCGATATTACCTTCTGAGAGCAGCAGTGGTCCAGCCACCCTGAACAGTATCTGTTGGCACCTTAAGGAGTGTACTTCATGTAACTTTTCATCCCTTCTTGCAGGGATACCGCAAGCTACTCAATAAAGCGATCACAAATTGACATTAATGTTGGTCAGTTTAAACATGTTGCTGTTTAGAGAAATTATGTATTTGCAAATTCCCTATTAACTACCAGCGTCTCCATTTTGTGATACTAAATTGCAGTTTCTGCTTGTTTTTAGAACAAAATCAATCATACAGTATTAAAGGATCTCCTGGATCCAATCAAAGAGCTTTATGAAGACGTAAGAAGAAAAGCCTTAATGAGGCTGGAATATGAAGGACTGCACAAAAGTGATGCAATCACGACGCCAGGAGTACGATTTTACAATGATCCAGCCAGCTATGCCATGAATAGATATGCTTACTATGTCTGCTACAAATGCAAAAAGGTAATTCCACTTATATCCACTTTTCTGTGTCTGCAGAACAGCTTAGCATTGTTGGTGGGAAAAACTAGTGGGGAATACCCGAAGTCATGGACCCACGTATATTGGAGCTGTTTTAGGAAAATTGGCACAAAAGTGGAGACTGACATCCTTAGCAAGCAGCCAGTTGGCTGGTACTTTTCTGATGCAGACTCCTACTGGCAACTACTCTCTCTTCCAGCTTTCACAAATCATCCGAGTCTTTTTATGGCTTTCCCTGGGAGGGATGAGAGTGTTAGGTTGGCTTCTAGCCATTCAGTGCACTCTCTCTAAAGGAAGAGACTTTTCACCTAAGTTTACTATATAAAATGAAGCCAGTTTTGTTTTATTCCCTCACACATGATTGGGGCTTCCAAGTTCCATGTTCACCATATTGACTCTGCTAACTATCATTCACTTTGCTAAATGAACAACCCTTAGGGCCCGTTCACACCAGACGCAGTGCATTTCGGCCTGATTCTGGCTGGATCGCATTGCGGCTGGCTTACTTTGTTGTGGGGTGGGAGGGGGCATGACGATCCATTGAAGTGAATGGCACCATAGCCACGCCCTCCGGCCACAATAGGATTGGCCGCACGGGAACATGTGGCACATCAATGCCTGTGGTCCGAAAAAATAGTGCTTGCAGCATTTTGTTTGAACCGGACCGCAGGCATTAATGTGCCTTACGTTCCCGTGCGGCCGATCGCATTGCGGCCGGAGGCGTGGCAACAGTGCCATTCACTTCAATGGACCGCCATGCCCCCCTCCCGCCCTCACAACGCACTGTGTCTGGTGTGAACGGGCCCTTACTCAACCCTACTATTTTCCACAGAGAGATTTTCCTACTTTATGGGTTTAAAAGTAACATTGTCACTATGTGCTTAATGTCGCGAAAGGTCCCAGCACTCTGCAAAGATCTCAAACAGGTCCTGAATGACCCGCAGGAAGACATCTACCTGTCACCGGCCATCCTTTTTCTCTCTTTATTTTTATTCTCAGTTTTTCCTTAGAAGAAAACTAAATGCAGTCTTCACCTGCAGACTGTTAATCTGTGAAAATGTATTCTGTTTTGTGTAATGGACGGCCTGTTCTTTGTCTAGGCATATTTTGGTGGAGAAGCCCGATGTGATGCAGAAGCTGGACAGGGAGATGACTACGATCCAAGAGAGCTGATATGTGGAGCGTGCTCAGATGTGTCCAGGGCTCAGGTATGATGAAAGTACAAATAATCAGCAGCATTCTGTCCTTTATTATATAAGCGGACTCCAGCAATGACTATGTTATCAATGTAAAGGAATAGCTTTTTTGTAGTACATATAGGTGAGGGACACTAACATCTCATAGAATGCACCTTTTTAGATGTGAATCTGTTAAAAGAAAAAAATGTTAGGCAAAGTTCTGACACCGCACTCTTTTTCCCTGTAACAGATGTGCCCGAAACATGGTACCGATTTCCTAGAGTACAAATGCCGTTACTGCTGCTCCGTGGCTGTATTTTTCTGCTTTGGAACAACCCATTTTTGTAATGCCTGCCATGATGACTTCCAGAGGATGACCAGCATACTTAAAGAAGAACTTCCACATTGTCCTGCAGGTTAGTGTAACAGCTGATGCAGGATTTCATTTGATACTAAACTTGACAGTGGTTTCTTTCCAACTCAGACAGAGAAAAAGTGCAGCTGTATACCAGGATGCTAGCCATACACAGGCCAATTTGTGCAGCTGTATACCAGGATGCTAGCCATACACGGGCCAATTTGTGCAGCTGTATACCAGGATGCTAGCCATACACGGGCCAATTTGTGCTGAATCGTAGTCAGACGGTTACTGATTCCTCCGTCCATGCTGTCTAGTGTATGGGGGAATACTGTGATTTCTCTAGAGAAATCTACCAGTGTATGGCTAGCCTAAAACAGACCTTTTTGTTTTCTTATTATTTTCACTGTCTGCTGCTGTAAATGACCGGAATATGTAAGTGATGTGACTAGTCTAATAGAGACTAACCAATACTCTCGCTTCATGTAAGGTGCCCCTTTATTTTTTCCTATTAAATGTGTTGGACGGTCTACTGAATTCTACAACGATATTCTAAGGAAATGAACAAAACCTTTATTAGTGTATGAATGGATAGTAGACTCTTCATGTCTGGACCAGGTATTTCCTTTGGCTCCCACAGCTGAACTCTAAGGAAAGCGGAATATATGCAGCTGTGGAGGTTAAAAGGAAATTGATGCTTTGCCCTTGCAGGCATTCATTTATTTTATTTTTTTTACTGGAATACATGTGCTGATATTATTTTGGTACGTGAAACACCGTGGGGGGAATTTATCATAGCAATTGCGAGTGTTTGAACTTGCACAGAATATATTTGCACCAGATTTATGATGCTGGTGTAATGTGGTTGATAAATGAGGTTAAATAGAGTCCAGGAAAGAAGACTTGTAACTCCAGGCAAAGAGCGTAACTGTCGCCTCTTGAAGAAGTGGTCATGGGGACTTCTTAAGTTGTGATTGTTTTCTTAGGTGATGCTCCAGTTTTAGACAGCCCAGAACAAGTGCGGATGAAAACACGGGCAAAAAACATGCAACTGAAAAAGTAGTGCAAGCTCAGAAGAAAACTGGTGCAAAACATGTGCAGTTGGAAAAGTAGTGCAAGCTCAGGTCAAAACAGGGGCACATGTTGAAAGACAGATTTGCACATTAAAAAAAAAAATGATCTAAGAGGCTAAAACTGTTGCAATTGCTTTGATGAATTCGCCCCTGAATGTTTTTTTGATGAAAAACAGCTACTCTGGTCAGGTCCTTGCAGTGTTCCCAGAAAGATTAGATTGGTAATCCTGACTTGGTAGATCTCGTACTTTTCATGTGCTTAGGCAGTGTGTTGTCTTACAGTCCTTTCTCAATTTTCTCTTGTAGGTCCAAAAGGCAAACAACTTGAAGGAACAGAGTGTCCTCTTCATGTGGTTCACCCGCCCACAGGAGAAGAGTTTGCATTGGGCTGTGGCGTGTGCAGAAATGCTCACACTTTTTAAAACAAGCCGATGTTTCCTTTCCACTTTTGTTAAATTTTATTTCCTTTTTGTGAATTTCAAGACAGACTTCAGCAGTCTGTGACGCCAGGCAGGTTCTGGACGACAGCCTTCGGTCAGGAGGGGACCACTTAAAGAGTCTGCGAACAAGGTTAATCAGGAAGGAGGCCTCAGATTCAGCTGTGTATTCGCAACCTGTGCTCTTCAAACCAAACCTTACATGTTCTTGTCAAACTGATAACTGTGCGGTGCTTGCATGTGGTCATTACATATAGCACCAGATGTGCACAGCACATGCTTGAATGCACACAGTAGAGGGAGGCTCCCCATATCAAGGTTATATATAAATACAAGTATACAGTATATGTATGGCCAGAAGATGAGCCACAGTTGTGGACACTGACTTTCCAGTAAGCCCGGTACAAGTGTACTTGCATCTCGCGGGAAGACAGGGGAATATTTGTGTATCTACTAGACTGTTAATTTAAACTCTGTGGTTGCTGGAGAGCCCTGCAATGTGCCAGCAGAGAAGAGAAGGGTGGTTCATGGCATTTGCCGGGTACATAAACATAACAAGGTATAAAAGTTGTAACAAATGCTGTACATAAAAATATCAATGTTCGTCCCGTATAAAATTTACTACATTACAAAGGCAGTTTCATTTAAACTTCTGGGTTATGTTTGAGCCTGAACTTTTAATGAAGTGCAATACTGAGTGTGCCTCATATCTTTGCAGCTGTAAACTTTATGGAATGTACATGTCAATAAAGCCACTGTACATTTTTATACAGTGACAGTCTGGTGAATGTTTAGGATATTATTTAAGAGGAATGGCTTTTAAAAAGAAAAATAAAGAGTTAAATCATATTATCTGTCATGCGTTTCTGAATTAGATTTTTTTTGTATTTATTTTGTTGTGGCTACTTCAGTGGCACTGTACAGTGAAACATGTAATACGCTGCACATTTCACACATGCAATTGAAGGGCAACATATATATAGGGGGGGGCAGCTTCTATCTTCAGTTTGTTCAGTTGAGCTTTGTAAATGAAAGATTGAAGCTGATTGGTTGCCATGGACAACTGCTCCTCATGTGGTCTGTTCCAGCTTTGATAAATTCCCCCCACAGTACATAGCTTTAAACCAGTGATGTAACTGCATATGCCAAGAAAAATCATTGCAGTGTAATATCTATAATAGACTTCACCTTAACTGATGATGGCTGAATCATTGTAGAGACTCACCACCGCCAGTCATAGTAGTCTGTAAGGGGTGCCTGATTTATGGGAACAAATGCTATGCCTTATACCAGTGGTTCTCAGCCTGTGTAACCACATTTCTCCTCGCTCATTAATTCGCGACCCAAGTCGCACTGCAATGGAACGCAAGGCATTGCGGTACTGGGCGTTGCGGTGCAGTCGATTGAACTGTGGGTGGGAGGTGAGTTTTGGGGTGCAATTCAAATAAATGCAATGGCAATGCAACACACCTCCCACACCAGAACACACATTAGGTGTGATTGAATGGTACAGTGTGTTAATTGCATGGGACTGTGTGATTAACGCACTGTAATAGTGTGAACGGGCCCTCAAAAACACTGAACAGACACACACAACAACAGACACAATCTCACAGACATGGTCACACACACTTATACACTCCAAAAAAAACATATATATATTTTTTTTAAGATACACCCAGTTTTCCTACCTTACGAGAACTGGAGTAGATTTTTAACCTGTGGTCCAGTGTGGGCTGCTGTGCTATAACAGAGCTCCACCCATATGAGGATTGCTTGTGCAGCTCCCATGCGCGCCTGTAGAGGTGCCGGGAGCCAGAATGTGACGTCACTCCGGTCCAGGCATCTCCCCAGGACATGTGAGGGAGCTGTAAGCAATGCATGTATGAATGGAGCTCCCTCGTGGCCATAGCCCCAGCCCACCCCACCTCAAGTCGACACTCGGCTCTGGGCAACATATTTTGAATGGCTGCTTGGTGTGAGAACTTACAGTGCTGTGCTAGGGGGAGGCTGAGGAGCCTCTCACCTAGAAAAGTGGAAGGCACGCAGTGACCCACTGAACACTGGGTCGCGACCCACTTTTGGGTCACAACCCACTAGTTGAGAACTAGGCCTTATACTATTCCTGTCTGGGTAGATATTTATGGGACCAGACTGTGCCGGCCCTCATGGTGTGCCTCTGCTTGTAACTAGAAGGTGGCCTTAGTGCCTGTTAACATACAAGAGATATTTCATTAGGGATGTTACCTAAACGCAGCTTGATGCAATGTAGAAGCCTTGAGCTAGAACTTGAACAATGGCGATTCATATTACCAAAACAATATATCCTGTACTTTATTGCTCCTATTTTTAAAATGACTGAAATATAGCAAATTATTGTGCTGAAATTAGCCAACATCGAGGTTACTGTAGGAAAGTGGCCAACTAGTTTCTCATAAAATGGTTCACAGAACGTTCTACTGAAATGTCTTTCTCCGCTCTATGTAGTAAATGGTCTTTTCACTGTCATGGCTTTAGTGAAAGGCATCCGAAGTTTCCCATCCTTCTTGAGCATTTAGCTGTGAGGCTGTAAGTGAGTTATTCACCTTGCAGGGCACATAATTACATCCACCCCCCCCCCATAAAAAAGAACTAATTGGAGAAACAATCCTCTAAAAATTGGCTTGATTTTTTTTTTTTTTTTTAAAGTGATGTTTATATTCCATAAAAAAACACTTCCGTCTAATTACATGTATAAAACCTGCTTATACAATGTATTTTGCTGGATGCTTTTCAGTAGGATATGAGAATGAGGAATTGCCTAGAGCACATAGTACAGTTATTATTTGTCATGCAAATGGTTACATTTTCAACCTTTTACAAGTAGTACCTTTTACCTTGTTGTAATGTCAGCAGCCCTTTGCAACTTCAGGCACATGTTTGCAGTCAACCACAAGTTGGCATACTTGTATCACAGTTTCAGCTGTTACTTTGCTGCATAAAACTTCATATCATTAAAACATTTGATGAAATTTAAAGTGCATTGATACCCAAAACTTTTTTTTATAACTGTTAACTGTTTATTTTATCAGAGTAAACATTCTGACATATTATGATAAAATAAACCGTTTTCTATTTATGAAAACAAGCAAGGATCTGTAATTGAGATTCCCAACTTATTTCCACAAATCACAAAATAACTCGAGTTCTATTTTTGCGCTAACCTGAAGACAAAATAAGTACAATAGTGTGCAAAAACATATATATTTTTATTAACTAAAATTCAGTGCAAAATAATAATCAAAATATAACTGGCAACAAAGAATATGAATCTAAATTTCAATAATATTGATAACCAAGATAAAATTAAAATACAACCACAGGATATTATTTCAAAACATCAATGTAACAAAACTAAGTAACTTCTTGGAATGTAATTAGTAGCTTATCATTAGCTCAGCAGAATGTGATAACATGTGCAGATTTGACACGTGACTTCTCCCAGCCCACAGATATTCACAAGCTCAACTTCTACAGCGCGTGGACAAACTTGTTACACCATGCACAAAATTGGCTATAAGCCAAGAATATATTTAAGGTAAAGACAAACTTCCACTAATTGTTATTTTATTACTGTATATGGCTAGTCAATTGCCTACAGATAAATAGAAATGTATACTTTTCCAGAAATTGCAAAATCTTTTGTCAGAGATGACAGCTTTGTGTCAATGTAGGAACAAGAGATATTCCGGTCCTCTTTGGTTCAGTTCCCCTGGTCAGCCCGTCAATCAGCTTCCGATCTCTCCCACCAGTGTCTATGTACGGCCTCCTGTATACTCTTTCCTTCTCCCTCTCTTAACTTTCTCCGAAGGCTGGGTTCACACCTAGGCGTATCGAAAATGCGTGTTTGTCGCGCATTTTAACCGTGATTCGCAGTAAAAAAAACTCGTTTCCGAGGGCTACTTGGCTGTATCCCAATGAAAACGCGCGACAAAAACGCCCCAAAGAAGCTCCTGTACTTCTTTGGGCGTAGGGCATTTTGTAGCGCGTTCATACGGCCTTAATACGCCCAGGTGTGAACCATACCCATAGGAAATAATGGGATTTCGGTGTTTGAGCGTTTTGCAGAGCGTTCAAACGCACTACAAAACGCCAAGGTGTGAACCAGGCCTAACTTTTATCACCCAAGAATGTAGGCGTGAATTGCTTATCTCCTAATTATGACATCAGAAAAGTCACTTTTCTAAAAGCCATCCCTGCAATTAACTAAAGGGGGCAATATTGGACTAGAAATAATTTTGGACTTTTCCTTAAAATTCAAATATTATTCCTTAAGATGACCTCTGACCTAAGCCTTGAACAAAACCATAAATTTAATAGGGTGGTCTGTTCTATGGCAGCATCTATCCGACTTACTGTCTCAATAGATATATAGTTTTGGTCGGATGCTCCGAAATTCGGAATTTCAGGAAAATTCGTAACGAAACGAATCGCACATGTCTATATAACACAGAACAAAGATGGCTTCCAGGATGCCCATGTTACAATATGTAGAATAATATGTATAGGACTTATAGTTTAATTCCTTTTTAGCCTCAATAGTTCTGACACATCCATATCTACAAAGTGATACACTTTTAAATAGTGTATATACAAAGTTCATAAATAGATCATTCTTCTTAGACTCCGCCATATCCAGTGCTCTTTAGTGATATGTAAAGTAAATCTATATATTTAGCTACTCAAGTTCATCACCGTGATCCAAGACCCGACATGAGACAACAAGCAATAACCACTCCGTGCTGTAATCCACCTCCAGGGAACAAGTGACAAAAGATCTGCACTCACCGGAATTAGATGACCCCTTTTTACAGAATGGTCATATCTCACTTAGTGCGGTATCGGTTTCCCGAATTCCTCCCAGTATTCAGTCCATCCAAGAGGTTTCAGCCCCAGCATTGCCAGGAATGCAAGCCTTTGTTCTCCATTTACTCAAAAACACAGAT